TGTATATGTATATTGTGTATATGTGTGCGCTTGTCTGTATGCATATTTGTGTTTATATATGTGTGCATGTATGTGTGCATGTGTATATTTGTGTGTGCTTGGGTATATATATATATACATATGTGTATATATGTGTGCATGTGTATGTGTATATGAGTGTAAGTGTATACAAAACACACACACACTAGCCATCCCCTGCCACGTGTTGCTGTGGCCCAGTCTGTGTATATGTATTTTGTGTATATATTTGTGTATATGTGTGTTTGCGCATATATATGTGGTTTTGCACATGCGTTGTAATTTTTTTTTTTAATTTTAGGCTTTTAAAGTCTCTTCTTCTGTGTATCCCAGTGTTTTTAGGAGTGACGGTCACTCATTGGCCTGATAGGTGTCTTGTGTCCAAATTTTGTGTCAATTCATCCAGTGGTTTTTGAGTTATGCTAATCCCACAAACGAACATTACATTTTTATTTATATAGATAAAGAAAAACTTCCAAAGGACTGCTGCTGGTTACTCTGCTGTACATTTATGAGGAGGGTCTTGCCCAACAGCGATGTCAGCTATTGTCCAAATCAGGCCTATTATGCTAAACCAGCTGAATCCATGTTTCGGCAGATTTGGGAAGCCCCGATGCCATAGTAAGTCACCTCTCGCCATTCCGCTTGGCTGGGAAGGGGGCCTCGTGCCACTCACCCAATCCGTTCTCACTGACAGACACGCTGTCAGAATCCAGGGCCCCGTCCATCATGGTAGCATCCTCATCCGTACGGCGTCGGCGGGATCGGCGTCGGCGGTTACTGACCGGCTGCGATTCGCTGGCGTCCGTGTCGGCAGTCTGGTCCGTCTCGGTGTTGTCCAGCAGGCTGTAGGGGTTGCTGTCGGGGTCCTTCAAGACTGCGAGGGGAGAGAGGAGGTGGGCTTTGGGTCTGTCAGGTTTAAGGGGGCTCCCTAGCTCTGGTCAAGCTGCTCCCTAGCTCTGGTCAAGCTCCCTCAATCCTGCTGCAGCAGGATTGAGGGAGACAGGGATACTGAACAGAAGGAATAGGACGGAAGGGGTGCAGCTGGGACCTCATGAAGGGAGCATGTGGGGCCTCATCTCTTTCTCTGAGTTTTTGACAAGATTTTGGGGACATGGTCCCACTTGAAATAAGGAAAGAAACTGAACTATTCTGCCATGCCTTTGGGGATCTACTCAGAATGCTGAGGGCACTTTTTTCAGAGGTCACTGGCAGTGGGGCCAGGGCCACCTTGCTTGGTGTTTGCAAAAAGCAGCTTGAGACCGACACAAAAAGCAGTGAATGGGGGGCTCTTCCCTCTCGGTGACCCCAGAAACCAGGTCCTGGTACCTGAACTGATTGAGGAGGAGTTGTACTTGCTGCTGCTGTTCCCTCGAGGGGCTGGAGGGGGCCCCCGGCCGCGCCCCACTCCCGGCCGCCTGCGGTTGTCTTCCAGGCGCGAGTCGCGGTCGCTGGGCAGCGGGGTCTCATACTCCTCCCTCTTCTCCGACTCGGTCTCGGAAGCATTGGACATGTCAGAGTTGGTGGCTGAGTGAGGAAAAAGGAGCGTGAGAGGAGCTGCCTTCCTGATCCAGTGAGCTGGCCATGATCCTTCCTCCTTTTTCCTCCTTCCCATGAGGTCAGGAACCATTCCTCAGCTCATGCGTTCAAAGTGAAGATACATCAATACTTGTAGACACAGCAACTGAGGACAGAGGGAATCCTGCAGTGTACCCACTGCTGTCTCGGTTTCACCTCTGTTTCCTAGATCTATATAGTTCAAGGTGTTTTGCTTCCTACCTGCATGGAGAGGTCACTTCCATCTCCTTCTCAAAAGTCCTAATAGTGTGCTGTGCGCCCCATCTCTACCTGAAAACTCTATCCCAGTTATATCCTACTTTGCCCATGTCCAGCATTATTTTTTAAATTTTAAATTATTGCATTTGGCCCAGCCATAGGTTTTTACTGTTTGTTGTTATTGTTACTGTTTATTGTTTACTTTTGTTTATGAGATTTAGTTTAACTGTTGTATTGATTCTTTTCTTATTGCTTTTATTGTTGATGTACTTTGGGCTGGGCCTCATGTAAGCCGCACCGAGTCCCTTGGGGAGATGGTAGCGGGGTATAAATAAAGTTTTATTATTATTATTATTATTATTATTATTATACATATATTATATTGTTTTATATTAATTTTATGTCTATTAGTAATACTAGCTTGGGGTCACAATACAAAGAGACGAAATATGTATTGTCAAAGGCTTTCATGGCCGGAATCACTCAGTTCGTGTGGGTTTTTTCGGGCTATATGGCCATGTTCTAGAGGCATTTCTCCTGACGTTTCGCCTGCATCTATGGCAAGCATCCTCAGAGGTAGTGAGGTCTGTTGGAACTAGGAAAATGGGTTTATATATCTGTGGAATGACCAGGGTGGGACAAAGACTCTTGTCTGCTGGAGCTAGGTGTGAATGTTTCAACTGACCACCTTAATTAGCATTTGATGGCCTGGCAGTGCCTGGGGCAATCTTTTGTTGAGAGGTGATTAGATGTCCCTGATTGTTTCCTCTCTGTTGTTTTGCTGTTGTAATTTTAGAGTTTTTTGTAGTACTGGTAGCCAGATTTTGTTCATTCTCTGTGTAGTCTGACATGGTGGTTGTTAGAATGGTCCACCTTTTCTGTGTTCTCCAATGGACCTCTGGGTGGATCTTTGTCTTGACTCTTGTGGTTTCTTCTCGGTCTCGCAGCAAACAAGGACATCTAATCACCTCTCAACAAAAGATTGCCCCAGGCACTGCCTAGGCCATCAAATGCTAATCAAGGTGGTCAGTTGAAACATTCACACCTAGCTCCAGCAGACAAGAGTCCTTTGTCCCACCCTGGTCATTCCACAGATATATAAACCCTTTTTCCTAGTTCCAACAGACCTCACTACGTCTGAGGATGCTTGCCATAGATGCAGGTGAAACGTCAGGAGAAAATACCTCTAGAACATGGCCATATAGCTTGAAAAACCCACAATAACCCAATAATAATAATAATAATAATAATAATAATTATTATTATTATTAATATTATTATTATTATTATTATTATTTATACCCTGCCACAATCTTCCCAACAGGAACTCGGGGCGGCTAACATGAGGCCAGGCCCAAAATTATAACAAAACAAATAAAAATATACCAAATAAATACAAACAAGCAAAATACCATTAAAATAAACACATAATGAAATAAAATAGAGCCAGCATTAGAGACTCTTCCACCCAAAAAGTTACATAACTTTCTTTTGTCTATCTCAGACATGGACAACTTCGCCCATCCAGGTGTTTTGGACTTTAACTCTCACAATTCCAACAGCCGTGAGAGCTGAAGTCTAAAACACCTGAAGAGCCAAAGTTTGCCCATGCCTAGTCTATCTCTCATCTTAGAAGAATAAAAGTTAAGTTTTTGTACATTTTCTAAAACTTACCAGGGCATCCTAGATATTTCCTCTCCAGGTTCCTACCATATATAGCACGGATTACACTCCACACTGCTCTGATATAGAAACCAAATATTCTTGCCTACCGCCCGCTCGCTCCTGACCCGCTCACCGTAGCCTGAGTTGGGGGGCCTGCGCCCCCGTCCGCGCCCTCCGTAGCTGCCTCCATACGTCCGGGTGCCGTGCAAAGAGGAGGAGGTGCTCTCGTCGGTGGTGTAACCACTGCCGCGCTCCTTGTCGGAGCGGTTGGAGAGCGGCCGGAAGCCCAGCCCAATCTGGCGCAGCTGCTCATCAATCTGCAGCCGCTCCAGGCGCAGCTGCTCCACTTCCTGGGAGGAAGACAGGAACCATACACTCAAAGAATTGTAGAGTTGGAGGAGAGACTTCCCCAAAGGGCCATCCAGTCCAACCTCTGCTTAAAAACATCCAGAGGAAGAGACTCCACTGGACTCCAAGGCACAAACTCCATCCCTGTGTCATCCTGTTTTTAGTATCTTAGTTTTTATCTTGCACATGCGGCCCGCTCATTGTTATTTTATTTTATATGATTTTGCTTTATTGTTTTTTGTACTCATATATTGTATGTATTTTACTGTGTTGTTATTGTGTTTTGGTTTTATTTTATTGTAATATGCTGTTGGGCTTCGCCTCATGTAAGATGCCTCGAGTCCCCATTGGTGGCAGGGTATTAAATAATAATAAAAATAAAAATAATAATAAAAATAATAATAATAATAATTGCAGGATATAATTGCAGGCTTCCTCAAGAGTTCATATGGTATGGGACTCAATAAACCTTTCTGCTGGTAATGGTGCAGCTGTAGCAGGTAATAATAATAATAAAATAATAATAATAATACTTTATTTATATTCCACCCTTCTCACCCCAAAGAGGACTCAGGGCAGATCACAGCACACTTGCACAGCAAATATTCAGTGCTGCTTTTGTATAGACAATACAGAGACAGACAGAACAGAAAGGAGGTGTTGTTGACTCAGTGTGCAGCCCAAATAAGAGAAGCCTAGCCCTTCTACTGATGGTGCCCAGCATCACCCCAGAGCCAAAGAACTGAGCCTCCAAACATTTTGGACCCAGATTTATACCAGTTGGGGATCCAGTTCTGGAACAGGATGCCCCCCAGTCCACCTCCCAGATCAAGGCCAACGGAAGGAGGGCTCCCAAGGATTCTTCCCACAGCAAAGAAGCAAACAAAGGCCTCACCTGAAGGTAGGATAGGTGGTACTCCAGCAGGGCCTGCGCGTTGCTGATATTCTCTCGCGTTCCCACAAAGATGAAGGGGACCATCCCCTGTAAAAGGGAAAGACACATTGGCAATGGAAGTGGCACCAGACAACTTTTCTTCAGAAGACACCAAAGCAGTCATATTTACAATAAATTGCCCACCCAAACCTTTGTTGTGCAATTATGAGGCATCCATTGCAGACCAATCAACAGGATGCTGCTCCTCATTCTCCCAAAACTAGAGCAGGAGCAAGTGCATAGGCACAGGGCCAGTTTGACAGAGAAGCCCCATGGCATTTGAATATGGTATAATAGTTAATATTTTATCAGAAATTTAGCTTTTTGCTTGTTTTTATTATTTATTATTATTTACAGTATTTATATTCCACCCTTCTCACCCCACAGGGGACTCAGGGAGCATCACAATGCACACAGACATGGCAAACATTCAATGCCATAAACACACAACATATACAGACAGACACACAGAGGCTATTTAACTTTCTAGCTTCATGAGGGTATGCTTTTTGAATTCCGGCCACCGGGGGTGCTATTGCTTCACTATCCACTTGTGACACTAATGGAGTACTTCCTCATTCTTTGCATGCTGCTGGAGAGTGTTTTATGGCGTCATAAATTAGTTAAATTATCCTCCTTGCATAAGCGATACCTAAATTTCCTACTTGACAGATGCAACAGTCTTTCAGGATGCAAAGAATGACAGCAAGCTAGACAAATGGGTGGAAGTGTTGCACTCCAGAACAGGAAATAGCCCCTCTGACTATAAACACACCACACGTTGAATGAAGGAACAATCCTTTTTATTAAAGCTTAGCAAAAAAAAAAAGCCAGTAGAAATAAATGCTTGTAAAAGATAGATAAGATTCCAAAAAGCAATACGGCATTTAAAGGCAGCAAGAAGACACAGTGTCCAAACGTAGCAGTCAAAAGCAATGTTCAAAAAGCATAAAATATAATCCAAGGCACTGATTGTCCAGATAGGAATCAACCAAGAAGCAAGGACAGACCAGACGCTGCTAGTCAAGTTGAAAGGCTAGAATAAACCATGAAGACGAAGATCACTTGAACAGGAATTCCATGAGGTTTGTGCTTGGTTTCCAAATGATGCCTGATCTGACAAGATTTTCTACAGGCAAGCCTTAAATCCCAAAAACTGGTTTCATTTTCCCCCAGTCTTTGACTTTAATTGATGAATTCTTTCGGATCTACGTAAACACTGGGCCTCTTGTCGATTCTGGTTAATCTCCAGCCGCTGATTCTGCTTATCTGACTCCTCATTAACTTTAGCAGGTGTCTGACTGTTTTCCAAACTAGAATCTGGAGAGCTCACAGACGGAGGGAGTAAACCTTCCTCCCAAGGCCTGACAAAAACATTCTCATGAGAATCTGCCCTTTGCACCGAAGCCTCTCTGTCAGTGTCTGTATGAAACTAATTGACCAAAGTGTCTACATCTTGCACCTCAGAGTCGGTCCCAGAATCCCCCACATCAGAAGCAACAGGGGACTGATTTCCCTCCTCATTACCCACATCAGACACAGAAACATCAGGAGACTGAAACACATTCACAGGTTCAAGCGCAGGCTGAGTCCCAACAGGAAGCTCACTCCGACCTGGGCTGGCTTCAAACTCATGACCTCTCGGTCAGTAGTGATTTTAATGCAGCTGATTCCCAACCAGCTGTGCCACAACCTGGTCCTGTTTTTGCATTTGTAAACCACTTGGGAGACCAGGCCTGACTGGACTCTCACCCAAGGAGGAAGAAAAGCAATCTTAAGCTCCTAATTGATGGTTTTTTGAACCTGGCCACTGATCCTTTGCCCAGGCAACTAAAGGAAATGCACTTGAGACAGAGAAGAGAAGATGACAAATATGGACATGTTATGTGTGGGGAAGATGGGACTTGAAGGTGGGGTTTCTTGACATCTGGGGCAGCGAGAGACAGGACAAACCCCTCTCCAAAGTGGGAAAGGCAAAGGCAGGTAAAAGGCTCCTCCCTCCAGCCCCACTGACCTCTTCCCGGGGGTTCTTCTTGTCGTTGTCGCCTTCCACTCGCACTCGGACCACCCCGGACTTGTCCACAATCTCCTGGATGACCTTCCCATTCTTGCCGATCACCTTCCCTGGAGCAAAAAGCAAGGGAGGCAGCTGAGGAGTGGCACGCGCATGACTCCAGAGTGAGCATGGGCCAACTTTGGCCCTCCGGGTGTTTTGGACTTCAACTCCCACCATTCCTAACAGCCTCAGGCCCTTTCCTTTTCCCCCTCAGCCGCTTAAGCCAAAGTTGTCCCATGCCTGCTCCGGAGAGACAAACTGAGGAGACCCACACTTTTTGAGGCAATGATGAGGGAAGGAAGGGAGGAAGAAATCAAATGGAGGTCACTCACCGACCAGGTTCCGGGGGACTTGGACCGAGTCTTCAGAGAATTCCAAGAAACTCCTGGCCTGTTTGCAGGCTTCTGGGGTCTGCAGGGAGAAGAAGGGTGAGGCATGTGGCAAGCAGTCTCACGGCATAGGGTTGACTCTTAAGGGTGCAAAGTGCTCTTTATGGCAAAAACTGGATCATGGAGCTGGAAGGAGGACCTCAACATGGTGCCAACTCCATTCCATCTGCTCAAGGGATCCCTGAGAAGTGGCTTCTAAACTTAAATGTTTACAGTCCTCCAAGGAAGGAGAGTTGGCCATCCAAGGCAGGTATCCTGAACACTATCATGCTTCTCTTACTGACATGAAATTCAACCTAATGTTTATTCCCATCTCTTTCTTTGAGCTTTGCATCTATTGGTTCAAGTTCTAATTCTGGAGCAGCTAAGAAGCAGTTTCATAGATTCATAGAGTTGGAAGAGACCACATGGGCCATCTATGTCAGGAATATTACAAATTAACTGGGTATTTTTGATTACATAAGTGTGTCAGGCATTGAAAGAGTAGGCCAAAGCCTGTTAGAGTCAATGGGCCAAAGCTAGTGTCATCCTGAGGAGAGTGAGTAGGCCGGAGCCTGTTAAGATTTAATGGGCCAAAGCTTGCCTGAGGAGTGTGAGGTAAATCTCTGTGTGAGAGAAGCCTCATGTAGGAAGGCTCCAGTGTGAATGCTGCTGTGTGTAAAGCTACTATACATTTGTTTATCTGCATTGTCTGTATTATGGAAACCTTGTTCTTGTGAATAGTGCAACCATATTATTTTGCTATAAAGATTCCCACCCTTTTCACAGGGCTCAGAGTTTGAGAAGAAGTCTGACGGCCATCTTGGCGATCTTTCGCCCTGGTCTTTTTTGCCTTCTTTTTTGGCGGGCCCTCCAATTGCTTGGCTGGCTGCACAGGTAAGTTCATAAATTCCCTGAGGACCCTGAAGGGTCCAAGAGGTGCTTAGGGGGAGCTGAGGGCAAAAGAGCATGCTCGTATAAGGCGCTTTTAGCCTGGACTCCTGATTTTTTCTTGTCTGCGGCGTAAACGCCTGACAGACTGAACAAGCTTGGGACAAATGTCCCTCCCCAAGGTAAAGAAGGCACAGAGAGTGCCCATCATTGTCCGGAAAGTTAATGGGGCAATTGGCACAACATTTAAAGGGGGGGGGGCCCTGCTCTCGGTCCCACCGGCCTCACAAGCGCGGCTGGTGGTGACGAGGGACAGGGCCTTCTCGGTAGTGGCCCCTCGGCTCTGGAACTCTCTCCCACTGGAGATCAGAACTGCCCCTTCCATCTTGACGTTCAGAAAACAGGTGAAAACTTGGCTATGGAGATTGGCTTTCGATGAGTGAGTCAATATTCTGCGATAGGGATGGATGACGACGAATGACAAGCAACGATTTTATTGTGACGACTGATGATTGTAATTATGTGTTTGCATTTTTCTATTTTAATGTTTTAGTTTAATATGTAATATGGTGTTTTTAATGACTGTTTGTAATATTACTGTTGGAAACCGGCCTGAGTCCCTCGAAAGAGGAGAGAAGACCGGTATACAAAATTGCTAAATGAATAAATAAATTAATTAATTAATTAAAGGAGGTGGAAGCCAAAATGTCGGATACACCAAGGGTAAATACTTAGACCAGTCCAAAGGCAGTCTGAATAAAGGAATGGAGAAAACAGAGGCAGTCAGGCAGTCCGAGCCAAAGCACAATGAAGTATTCGAGAAGCTAGCCCAAATGAAGGATCTCTAGCTGCTGCTGAGACGGCGGATGAAGAGAACTGGAGGCAGTAACTTCTCCCACTGGCTATATATACTCACAAGGGGAGTGGGCGGGGCTACTGCCAAAATGTTTAATAAAGTGTCTAGACCAGTGGTTCTCAACCTGGGGGTCCCCAGGTGTTTTGGCCGACAACTCCAAGAAATCCCAGCCAGTTTACCAGCTTTACCAGAGTTGAAGGCCAAAACATCTGGGGACCCACAGGTTGAGAACCACTGGTCTAGAAGGTTCCGAAGCTGTTCTGCGCAGGCGCAGAAAGTACCATATGTGCAATTCACAGGGACCACGATGGGGAATATTTTGCTATAAAGAAAAGCCACCTAAGGAAGAGATAACATTGGTCTCTGTGTTTTTGTTCTTTTTTCACTTTGGGCTATGAGTGCTGGGTCACGCTGCTGCTAAGTTACTCTGCTGTACATTTATGAGGAAGGTCTTTTGTTAAGAAGCCCACTCGTCCAATAATCTACTCCAACCCTCTGCCATGTAGGAAAAACACTATCAAAGTACCCTTGACAGGTGGCCATCCAGCCTCTGTTTCAAAGCCTCCAAAGTAGGAGCTTCCACCACACTCCAAAGCTGAGAGTTCCCCTGCTGAACAGCTCTTACAGTCCGAGCCCTACTTTCCAGGGAAGCAGAAAGGAAGCCCCCTCCCTCTTCCTTATGACATCTTTCCACATATTTACACATAGCTATAGTCTCCCCTCAACCTTCTCTTCCACAGGCTAAACACCCGATATCCCTTCAGATCTGTCATTTCTCAGTCTTTGCACAGCGGGAGGGCTGTGCAGGAGAGCCTGCTCCAAGTATCTGCTTCCCTTCGCCCCGCTCCTCGCCCCTTCTTTGATTGTGTATTTTTACATGGCAGAATGGGGTTGTTGTGGCCTTTTCTCTTCCAACTCCTCCTCTCTGCAGCCCCAGCTACAGTCAGGCCACTGGAGCCCCACAACAGTGGGATAACACTGGCTCCTCGGTGCCACCCCACTGTCCCAAGTGGAGGGAATGCTAACCGCCCCTTCTCTCAGGAGCCTTTGGGCCTTACCTCTCCATAGATGCGGAAGGTGCAGGTCTCCTCGTCCAACTCGATGGCGGTGACGCCGAGGACTTTGCGGGCCTGCTGGATGTTGGCCCCGTGGGTGCCGATGGCCAGTCCCATCAAGTCCTCGCGCACCGTGAACTCCTCCTGGAAGGCCGACGCCAGCTGCTTACTTGTCTGGGAGAAGAGGCAGGGTGATACGGAGGAAGACAGGAACCCACCCTCTTGCAAGCACACCTTGGGAGCCCCTTCCCCATCATCCACAGCCTCCAAGAGGAAGGCGGCCCACGCCTGAAGGACAGGCAACGAGGCCAAGCAGCTTTCTTTCAGGGCCCTTTCCTTAAAAGGTTGCTGGGGACAGTGCACATCAAACTGGGCCTGCTTTGCCTGGTGCTGTAGTTGAAACCCACAGAACACAGCCTCAAGTGGGAAGTTTTTTGAAACGCAAAGGTCTGTTGCATCAGATAAATGCTGGGCAGGCTCCAATATTCCACTTTAGAGCACGATCTGGCCAGTATGAGAATGTCATAAACTATTTAAGTCATGCATAAGCAAACTTCAGTCCTTCTGGGTGTTTTGAATTTCAACTCCCACAATTCCTAAGAGTTCAAAACACCCGGAAGGCCAAAAATAAGCTCTTTCGTTTCCTCTGTAGCTCATCTTCTCTATCTCTCTGAACTGGCTTAGAGTCCAAGCAATCCTGCTTTCCAGGATCCTTTTAGGGAACTCCAAGACAAACTCTGTGCTGCTCTTACCTCCAAGTGCTTGTTGGCTTCCTCGTTCCGGGACATCAGCATCAGCTTGGTCCGGATGCTGCGCAGGTGCATGTCTCCCAAGAGAGACGCCCTCTTGACCGTGGATTCGTTTGTGGACTGCGATAAAAACAGAAAAAAACAGTACTAAGATGCCTGTGCTTTAGTAGCAAAACAAAAGAAGGCAAGCAGCACACAGCCCTGAGATGTTCCACAAAGGAAAAATATGGTCGCAGCTCATGGACCAGTTTCCCCACTCTGGAAAGATTCACAAGTGTGTTGGGCAAGCACGCAGCCTCTTGAGAACGTGAAAAACCCACACAGCCCTTGAAAAACAAGGGCAGGATTTTCAAGGAGTTCTACTGTTCCAAGTGAGCATCAAACTGCCATTTGGGATTGAGCCTCTAGAGGGGGGCAGAGAGCTACATTTCCCAAGCAGCCCTTGCATAGAGGCAACAAGGCCAACTTTCCATCATACAGGGTTGCTGGGAGTTTTCTGGGTTGTCTGGCCATGTTCCACAAGAATTCTCTTCTGAGGTTTGTCCCACATCTATGGCAGGCATCCTCAGAGATTGTGAGGGCTGTTGGAAATGAGAGACATCTGTGGAATAATGTCCAGGATGGAAGAAAGAACTCTGGTCTGCTTGAGGCAGGTGTGAATGTTGCACACGTGCCCCAAACCTCTAACAAACGGACAAATGTCAGCGTGCTGGAAGAAGCAAAGACCACCAGCACTGAAGCAATGCTCCCCTGCCATCAACTCCGCTGGACTGGCCACATTGTCCGAAAGCCTAACCACCGTCTCCCAAATCAGTTACTCTACTCCAAACTCAAGAACGGAAAACGGAATGTCGGTGGGCAGGAAAAGAGATGGGCTCAAAGACAACCTTAAAAACTCTGGCATAGACACTGAGAACTGGGAAGCCCTGGCCCTTGAGCGCTCCAGCTGGAGGTCAGCTTTGACCAGCAGTGCTGCAGAATTTGAAGAGGCACCAATGGAGGGTGAAAGAGAGAAACATGCCAAGAGGAAGGCGCATCAAGCCAACTCCAACTGGGACCGCCTTCCACCTGGAAACCAATGCCCTCACTGTGGGAGAACATGCAGGTCAAGAATAGGGCTCCACATAAAAAAAAACAGATGAACATGATGTAATTATGAGAAGACGGAGAGACTAATTGCAATTAACATGCAAGAGATCAATCTCCCGGACAGGAAAATAATTTGGAAGCCAATAAGAAGATTTTATTTTTATTTTTCCAATTTTTATTTTTCCCTTTTTTTTCCTTTTTCTTTTCAACAAACTTTTTTCCCCTCTTTTTTTCTTTTTCTCTTTTTTACCCCTTTTTTTTATATTTCCTTTCCCCCCAGCCCTGACACTCCAAACTCTATTAGTAGGGAAACTTCCATACCCCCTTAACCACAGTAAACTTCTTCCTCTTTCCTACCAGTTAAACTTTCCTACTCCCTATTCCCTCCCCCTTTCTTTTCCTCCTCTTTTTTATTTTTCTTTTCTCTTTTTTGCCCCCTAAAAATTCAATTAAAATTACTTTTTAAAAAAGAATAGGGCTCCACAGTCACCTATGGACTCACTGCCAGGACACCGACCTTGGGGGGCAATCTTATTCAGACAACGAGGGATTGCCTAAGTATACTCTCCAAAGGGGAGAGATGGATGCTTACCAGGATGATGAGCTCGCTGTTGGTGGGGCTGAGGAAGATGCAGTTGGCGCCCACGGCTTTCTTGAATTCTTTGTGCACATTTTCATTTGAGCAGCTGCAGAGTAGAAACAGGAAGAGCAGAAGCTGTTTACAGGCATGCGCAAACTTGGGCCCTCCAGGTATTTTGGACTTCAACTCCCACAATTCCTAACAGCCGGTAGGCTGTTAGGAATTGTGGGAGTTGAAGTCCAAAATACCCGGAGGGACCACGTTTGCGTTCTCTGGGGCTAACACAGCAAATAATAAATTAGCTGCAAGCAAGTTAAGTACATACTTGATACATAAACTACCATTCTAACTTGATTTGGAGAGAAATCGAGGAGGTAAGAAACTCTCAACTCTGCTCTCGATCTCATATTGTGACTGTGTTTTAAGGCAGAAAGCTTTTTTGTTTAGGGGTTCCTGCTTCTTCATCTTGCACCAGTTTGAATCTCAGCCCTGGCAGAGGAGTGGGGCATGAGTCAAGGGATTCCCGCAGGGCGACACTCACGCCTCTTTGAGGTCTTCCGGCACAGCGATGGTGACTTTGAAGAAGCTGCACTTGGTGGCCACTTTGCAGGGGTTGACGGGTCGCAGCCGCTCCAGCGTGACGATTTCGTTGTAGACGGCGTCGCAAGCGGCATATTCGATGACGTAGAACTAGGAGGGAGAAGGCAAGGGGGAGAGAGGTGCTCAGAACCACCCCAAGGCCCCCGTGGAGCTCCAGAGGTGGGCATTTGCAGGGACAGGATCTGACTTGAATGAAAGTGAAGGCAGATCTGGCCGGGGTGGTCCACGCCTTGGTCACCTCTAGAATGGATTACTGCAATGCGCTCTACGTGGGGCTGCCCTTGAAGACGGCTCGGAAACTTCAATTGGTCCAGCGGGCAGCAGCCAGGATGCTAACCGGGGCTCATTATCAAGAGAGGTCTACCCCTCTGTTTAAGGAGCTCCACTGGCTGCCATTTATTTTCCGAGCCCAATTCAAGGTGCAGGTGCTCACCTACAAAGCCCTGAACGGTTTGGGACCACCCTACCTGCGTGACCGCATCTCCATCTACGAACCCACACGCTCACTTCGATCATCTGGGGAGGCCCTGCTCGTGATCCCACCCACGTCGCAAGCGCGCTTGGTGGGGACACGGGACAGGGCCTTCTCTGTGGCGGCCCCCCGACTTTGGAATGCCCTTCCAAAAGATCTCCGACAGGCCCCTACTTTAGCAGTTTTCAGAAGGAACCTAAAAACCTGGCTGTTCCGATGTGCCTTCTCAGATTAGGAATCCCCCATCCCAAGTCCTAGAAGCACTTTAGCACAACCGATGTTACTGCACACCACACCTCTAATCCTACGTTCCTCCTGCCATTTCAGCACTTTAACCCCTGTACCCCATTGCGCCGGCCGAACCAGTTTTAATAGTGTCTTGATGTAGTTATTGTTGTTATTTTGCTTAATTGTTTTGATTTGCTTTGTTTATTATTGTGTTATGTTTTTATTGTATTGTGTTTTGAGGCTTCGGCCTGTGTAAGCCGCATCAAGTCCTGCGGGAGATGCTAGCGGGGTACAAATAAAGTTAATAATAAATAATAATAATAATAAAGCCCCCCTCTGGCTTGGCTCACTCCGTCCGAAAACTTACATCTCCTTTCATCATCCGGACCCTGGCCAGCCACCAGCCGCAGGGCTCCTGTTCGTTGGCGCGGGAATAAACCTGAGGAAGGGAAAAAGCATATTTGGGTCTGCCAGGTTCCGGGTCCCGAAGGCCTCCCACCTCCCTCTCAGAGCAAAGGGACCCCGATCCAGCGGCTCACCTCCACCTCATCCCCTTCCGAGATCTCCTTGCTGTAGTCCGCAGGGGGAGGGAGCCGGACATCTCCAAAGGGGATCTGCCTCTCGGGCTGCCAGCTAAGAAAGCAGAGGGAGAGATTCCAGGTGAGACAAGGAGGGCAGACAGGCCCAAAGGGAAGGCAATAATAATAATAATAATCACATCCTCAGCTGCTGCAAGAAGATCGCGCAGACAGACTCCAAGCAGAGGCATAACACCATTGCTCAGATGATTCATTGGAACTTGTGTCCCAAACACCATCTGCCTGCGACAAAGAACTGGTGGGATCACAAGCCAGAAAAAGTAACAGAGAATGAACACGGCAAACAGTCATACCTGGCGTTTACCTAAGGTGCATCTATACCAGGGGGGAAAGGAAGGGGCCTGAGGCTGTTAGGAATTGTGGGAGTTGGAGTCCAAAACACCTGGAGGACCCAAGTTTGCCCATGCCTGTCTTAAGGAGCATGAAGCAATCGGAATGATTCACTCCATGTCCCATGTCATTGTGCCTATGTATTACACCCTTGTGGAAAGGGGCAGGGTTCCCCTTTGCTGGAAGCTTCTTGAATCAAGGGTTGGGTGGCCAGGCCTCCAGGGACTTGAGTGGCGGATTCCTCCCTCCTTCCTTCCGTGCGTGCTGCCAGCAGCAGGGCTTTGTCCCTCCCAGTGACAGAGGCTGGAAAGAATGCCAGGCCCCTAGCTCCACAGGACCACGAGCCAAGGCACCGTCCAACGTGAAAAGCGATAAGGTTCTCTCACTCTTATTGTATGCCACGACACGGTAACGTAGCAAAGCCAAAGATAACTTGGGACACACATTCCACCCAGACCAGCCTCAAGTAGTTCACCCTGATGATCTGGGTCAGATCTGACGGATACGTCAACAGCCTCCCGTTCAGAGGGAAATCTACTTTCCAGCTGAACTGATTCAAGCCCCTGTCCCCAATAAAGATGGGAGCTGGCCCCAAATAATCAAGACAGAAGAGATATGCTTGTTATTCATAGAGTTGGAATAATAATAATAATAATAATAATAATAATAATAATAATAATACTTTATTTATACCCCGCCACCATCTCCCCAATGGGGTTTCGGAGCGGCCAAGCCCAGACAACATGTTACACCAAAATAAAACCAGAACATAAACAACAAGCAACATCATCAAAATTACATAGGAAAAAAAGTATAAAGTATTTTTAAAAAAAGTATGTGGAAGAGACCTCATGGGCCACCCAGTCCAACCCCCTTTCTGCCAAGAAGCAGGACAATCTCATTCAAAGCACCCGCAACAGATGGCCATCCAGCCTCTGCTTAAAAGCCTCCAAAGAAAGAGCCTCCACCACACTCCTGGGGCAGAGAGTTCCACTGCTGAACAGCTCCCACAGACAGGAAGTTCTTCCTAATGTCCAGATGGAAAAAGCTTCAAGGGTTTGGCAGGTGCCAACACAAGCGAGACGGAAAGCACCCCCTGCCCTGCTACCGGTCTCAAGAAGCGCTGAAAGGAGGCTTGGTTTGAGGTTTTGGGGGACAGGCTCACCTAGCAGTGTCCAGCCTGGTTATTTAGCGGGGCCCCTCCTTCCCTTCCAGTCCAGTCCAGAGAAACTCTGAGGAACTGGGAACTGGCCATGGTGCTGGAAGGCGGCCTCATTAAGAGTAGAGGAATTAGCTGGGATTTGCATGCGGCTGCTGTGGGACGGGAGGGGAGGGGGAATGGGGACGACAGACAGGAAGGCAGACACTGCCTTTGGCCCACTGCCAGGCTCCCATCTCCATTCTCTCTCTCTCTTTCTTCTTCTGTCAGATGAGCCGAACCCCAAGCTCATCTGCTGTGAGTAAACGGTGAGCAATACCATGGAAGCCGGCACCAGCCTCCATCATTGGAAGTGGCTCGGAGCCAGGCTGGCTTCAGTCTCTTGGGCAGCTGTTCCAGAGAGCCACATGTCGGCCACTCTGTCCGGGAGTGACCTTTGAGAGCAGACTGACTCTCTTCCCCTCCCATCCTCTCCGCACAGGCTCACTCCTGGCCTGCTGTTGGGAACACAGAATCACAGGCTTGGAAGAGAACCCCTGGGGCCATTCAGCGCAAGCCCCTTCGGCCAGGCAGGAAGACACCATCCAAGCCAGTGTTTCTCAACCTGGGGGTCAGGACCCCTGGAGGGGTCGCGAGGGGGGGGTCAGAGGGGTCACTAAAGACCATCAGAAAACACAGTCTTTTCTGCTGTTCGTGGGAGCTCTGTGTGCCAATGTTGGTATAATTCTATCATTGGTGGGGTTCAGATAGCTCTTTGATTGTAGGTTAACTATACATCCCAACAACTACAACTCCCAAATGTCATTGTCTGTTTCCTCCAAACTCCACCAGTGTTCACAGTTGGGCATATTGAGTATCAGTTCCAAGTTTGGTCCAGATCCATCATTTTTTGAGGCCACAGTGCTCTCTGGATGGAGGTGAGCTACAACTCCAAAACTCAAGGTCAATGTCCACCAAACCTTTCCAGTATTTTCTGTTGGTCGTAATAGTTCTGTGTGCCAAGTTTGGTTCAAATCCATCATTGGTGGATTTCAGAATGCTCTTTGATTGTAAGTGAACTATAAATCCCAGCAACTATAACTCCCAAATGTCAAGATTATTTTCTCCAAACTCCACCAGTGTTCACATCTGGGCATATTGAGTATTCATGCCAAATTTGGTCCATCTCCATCATTGCTCTTTGGATGTAGGTGAACTACAACTCCAAAACTCAAGGTCAATGTCCACCAAACTTTTCCAGTATTTTCTGTTGGTCATGATAGTTCTGTGTGCCAAGTTTGGTTCAAATCCATCATTGATGGATTTCAGAATGCTCTTTGATTGTAGGTGAACTATAAATCCCAGCAACTACATCTCCCAAATGACAAAATCAATTCCCCCCATCCCCGCTACTATTCAAATTTGGGTGTATTGGGTATTTGTGTACATCCTGCATCTCAGATATTTACATTACAATTCATAACAGTAGCAAAATTACAGTTATGAATTAGCAATGAAAATAATTTTATGGTCAGGGGCCACCACAACATGAGGAACTGTATTAAGGGGTCGCGGCATTAGGAAGGTTGAGAAACACTAAGCCCTCCTGACAGATGGCCATTCAGACTCTGCGTAAAACCCTCCAGAGAAGAAAACATAGAATATTCCACTGCCAAACCACTCTTACCATCAGGAAGTTCTTCCCAATGTTGAGGTGGAATCCCCTTTTCTGCAACTTGACTGCATGGCTCCATTGTGTCCCAGTCTTCAAGCAGAGCACAAGCCTGTCCCCTCCTAGATATGGCACCCTTCCCAATATTTCAACATGGCTCTCATGTCCCCTTCTCTCAAGCTAAACATCCACAGTTCCCAAATCTGATCCTCAGAGAGATTCATGGCTTCTAGACCTTTGATCCATTTGGTCACCCTTCTCTGGACACCTCCCATCCTGACCATCTCCTTCTTTCCTGCCTCGAGGCCTCCATCCCCAACTCTCACCCAAACCACTCATAGAATCCTAGAATCCTAGAGTTGGAAGAGACCTCATGGGCCATCCAGTCCAACCCCATTCTGCCAAGAAGCAGGAATATCACATTCAAAGCACCCCCAACAGATGGCCATCCAGCCTCTGTTTCAAAGCTTCCAAAGAAGGAGCCTCCACCACACTCCGGGGCAGAGAGTTCCACTGCTGAACGGCTCTCACGGTCAGGAAGCTCTTCCTCATGTTCAGATGGAATCTCCTTTCTTGTAGTTTGAAGCCATTGTTCCATTGCGTCCTACTCTCCAGGGCAGCAGAAAGGAAGCTTGCTCCCTCCTCCCTGTGACTTCCTCTCACATATTTATACATGGCTATCGTATCTCCTCTCAGCCTTCTCTTCTTCAGGCTAAACATGCCCAGCTCTTTAAGCTGCTCCTCATAGGGCTTGTTCTCCAGACCCATGATCCTTTTAGTCGCCCTCCTCTGGACACATTATTCCAGGTGTGGTCTAACCAAGGCAGAATAGAGCATGGGGAGCATGACTTCCCTGGATCTAGACCCTAGGCTCCTATTGATGCAGGCCAAAATCCCACTGGCTTTTTGCCACCACATCACATTGCTGGCTCATGTTTAACTTGTTGTCCACGAGGACTCCAAGATCTTTTTCACACATGGCCATTCAGACTCTGCTTAAAACCCTCCAGAGAAGGAGACACAGCATATTCCACTGCCACACCACTCTTACCCTGAGGAAGTTCTTCCCAATGTTGAGGTGGATGCTTGCCATAGATGCAGGCAAAACGTCAGGAGAGAATGCCTCTAGAACATGGCCATATAGCCTGAAAAACCCTACAACAACCCAGTGATTCCAGCCATGAAAGCCTTCGACAATTTTGATAAATGTTTTTAGTGTTTATGTATTTATAAGAATTTGTATATTTATAAGAGTATTTATAATATTTATATAATATTTATAAGGATTTTTTGTCCCAGCATTTAATTTTTGCCATATATATGCTGTGCTCCGCCCTGAGTTCCCTTTGAGGTGAGAAGGGCAGAATATCAATGTTTTAAATAAATACATAAACAAATAAGAAGCTCCCCCCCCCCCCCCCAGAGGCTCAGGCAGGGGACATGGCAGCCATGTTCAATAGTTTCAAATATTGAACATTGTATGATGTTGTAGGATTGTATGATTCTAGGGCTGTTCAGAGAGTGGCAGAGGCACAGCTCCAGCCCAATTCTGGCATGATGTGCGCAGCATCACAGACATATTCCCTCCAGTGCTGTGTCATTCCTACATTTGGGGGGGGGGGGTAGGGACTGCTAATGGAGCATGGTGACACAGCCTCTTCTTCCGCGGGATCCTTGGCAGACAGACTGGGGAAGGGAGGGAGGCGGATGAGCCACTGAAGCAGAGAACAATCCCTTCCAGGTCTGGATTCAAAACGATGGGCCAGGCTGACTTTGCAAAGGCCCTCGGGCTGAAGAGAGGCGAGGATAGGGCCAGAGAACACAAGAGCCATGTCTCGGGGAGGAGGAAATAGCATGCTGGCAAGATAGATGGAGGCCAGGACAAAGGAAACGCTCTCAGTGACCAAAGAATTCAGGAACCCTCAATCTCACCCTCACAACTGTCCCAAGAGCCAGGGCCTGCTAAGGCTACAAGACCAGGGCAGCAGAGGAAGTGCAAGCTACTCTGTGAGGACACAACAAGCTTCTTCCACATCCTTACGAACCAGCCTTGATTGGGAGGAACAAGATTTACGTGGGATTAAATCCAGGCTCCAGTGGCACCAAGGAAAGAGTTCAGGGCAGCCCAGTCTCTGCTCTTGGGAGGATTTGGGGCAGTGAAGAGAAGGGGTTTCCCCATCAGAGCCATCTAAAACAGTAACACTTGTCAGAGGAATAGGACGCGGAACAATGGCTTCAAACTACAAGAGAGGAGATTCCATCTGAACATGAGGAAGAACTTCCTGACAGTGAGAGCCGTTCAGCAGTGGAACTCTCTGCCCCGGAGTGTGGTGGAGGCTACTTCTTTGGAAGCTTTTAAACAGAGGCTGGATGGCCATCTGTCAGGGGTGATTTGAATGCAATATTCCTGCTTCTTGGCAGAATGGGGTTGGACTGGATGGCCCAGGAGGTCTCTTCCAACTCTTTGATTCTATGATCTCTGGATGTAGGTGAACTACAACTTGAAAATCAAAGGATACCGCCCACCAAACCCTTCCAGTATTTTCTGTTAGTCATGGGAGAACTGTGTGCCAAGTTTGGTTCAATTCCATCGTTGGCGGGGTTCAGAATGCTCTTTGATTGTAGGTGAACTATAAATCCCAGCAACTACAACTCCCAAATGACAAAATCAATTGTTTGAGTGACAAACATACATTGGGTTGTTAGGTGTCTTGTGTCCAAATTTGGTGTCAATTAGTCCAGTGGTTTTTGAGTTCTGTTAATCCCACAAATGAACATTATATTTTTATTTATATAGATATTAAGCGGCTGAGGGGAAAAAGGAAGGGGCCTGAGGCTGTTAGGAATGGTGGGAGTTGAAGTCCAAAAATACCTGGGGGGGGGGGGGCAGGGTTTGCCCATGCCTGAGATAAAGGGATACTTAACATGTATCAGAGTCTTTCAAAATAAAAATATCCCCCTCTGCCAGTTCCATCAGCCATAGCCAGCTTGGCCAGAACTGAGGGATGGGAGTTGCTGGCCAACATCAGTTGAAAGGGTTGTATATTCCTCTTTCTCAGATTTGTTTATGCCGTGACCGTTCTCACCATGCCTTCTCTGAAAAGAGGGGCAAAGGAGGAACCACCAGCAGGCAAAATCTTTGCAGAGACTTACTTGTTTTCAAAGGATATCGTGACCGAATCTTCGTGGACATCTTTAACGAAACCCTGCAGAGGAGGAGAGAGAGACAAGAGACAATGCATTAACATCAGAGCAAGCAACACAAACAACACAGAAGGCTGCAACTGGGCCTGAAAAAGGGAGCAACCAACTAGGAGTAGCAGAGTGGAGGCATGGCTGCACCGAAGGGAAGCATATGAACTCATGCTCCGAGCCAATCAATGAGCCGACCGCAAAGGCAGAAGGAGCAGTTGTAGGTATCAGAGGTGGCTGTTGGAAGCACCAGCAAGACCCCAAAGGCCTGGACGTGAATGCTTGGAACCTGCAGGTGTAACCAAAGTACCCTCACCTGCTTAACTCTTGGTCTGGCAAGGAATATCCAGACACAGACAGGCCCTCCTCTCGGTCCCACTACCGTATCAAGCACGGTTGGTGGGGACGAGACAGAGGGCCTTCTTGGTGGTGGCCCCCCACCTCTGGAATGCCCTTTTAAGGGAAATAAGACAGGCCCCATCCCTCCCCTCCTTTCGTAAGAGTTTAAAGACCTGGTGGTTTCAAGAAACCTTTGAAAATGGCCAGTTCTAACTCAGCCCTACACATTGTCGAATACGGCCTTATTCTTCCTTCCAATTACCCAGATCATTTCCTCTAATCAGTCCCGGAATGAACAGCCACAGGCCCATACTTAGTATTATTGTTGCCTGCCATAGCATTGCACTTAATTCCCGAGCCCCCTAGAATTTTTGGGCTTGCACAAATCTTGGCCCAGCCTTTTTAAATTTTTAAATTGCCTTGAACAGGCAGAATTCTTTTAACATGTGTGTTATGGTGACAATTTTTATGTTTATATTTTGTTTTGTTAATCTTATGGTTATGTTGTTTTTTACTTTGTATGTTTTGTGATGTTACCTGGGAACCACTCTGAGTCCCCTCGTGGAGATGGAGGGGAATATAAATAAAGTATTATTGTTATTATTATTATTATTATTATTATTATTATTATTAGCCGTCCCCTGCCACGCATTGCTGTGGCCCACATGGGGGTTCTGTGTGGGAGGTTTGGCCCAATTCTATCATTGGTGGGGTTCAGAATGCTCTGTGATTGTAGGTGAACTATAAATCCCAGCAACTACAACTCCCAAATGTCAAGATTCTATTTTCCCCAAACTCCACCAGTGTTCACATTTGGGCATATTGAGTATTCGTGTAGAGTTTGATCTAGATCGATCATTGTTTGAGTCCACAGTGATCTCTGGATGTAGGTGAACTACAACTCCAAAACCAAAGGACACTGCCCACCAAACCCTTCCAGTATTTTCTGTTGGTCATGGGGGAACTGTGTGCCAAGTTTGGTTCAATTCCATCGTTGGTGGGGTTCAGGATGCTCTTTGATTGTAGGTGAACTATAAATCCCAGCAACTACAAGTTCCAAATGACAGAATCAAATATTTTTTTTTGTGAGTGAAGGACATACATTGGGTTGTTAGGTGTCTTGTGTCCAAATTCGATGCCAATTCCCCCAGTGGTTTTTGAGTTCTGTTAATCCCACAAACATTTTTATTTATATAGATCAGTGGTTCTCAACCTTCTTAATGTTGCGACCCCTTAATGCAGTTCCTCATGTTGTGATGACCCCCAACCATAAAATTATTTTCATTGCTACTTCATAACTGTAAGTTTGCTACTGTTATTAATCATAATGTAAATATCTGATATACAGGATGTATTTTCATTCACCGGACAAAATTTGGCATAAATACCCGATACGTCCAAATTTGAATACGGGTGGGACTGATGGAGGGGATTGATTTTGTCATTTGGGAGTTATAGTTGCTGGGATTTATAGTTAAACTGCAATCAAAGAGCATTCTGAACTCCACCAGCGATGGAATTGAACCAAACTTGGCACCCAGAACTCCCATGACCAACAGAAAAATACTGGAAGGGTTTGGTGGGCATTGACCTTGAGTTTGGGAGTTGTAGTTCACCTACATCCAGAGAGCACTCTGGACTCAAACAATGACAGATCTGAACCAAACTTGGCACAAATACTTAATATGCCCAAATGTGAACGCAGGTGGAGTTTGGGGAAAATAGTCCTTGACTTTTGGGAGTTGTAGTTGCTGGGATTTGGCGTTCACCTACAATCAAAGAGCATTCTGAACCCCACAAATGATAGAATTGGGTCAAACTTCTCACACAGAACCCCAATGCCCAACAGAAAATACTGTGTTTTCTGATGGTCTTTGGCGACCCCTCTGACACTCCTTCATGACCCCCTCAGGGGTCCCGACCCCCAGGTTGAGAAACACTGATATAGATGATGATGATGATTATTATTATTATTATGTGTACTTGGAAAACAGCAAAATACCACCCTAAGCAAAAGACCCCTAGCAGCAACAGCTTCAAGGAGGGCAGAAACCCACAACCACCATCCTCCTTCTCACACAAATATTCCCACTTTGGCACAGTACATAGGATTTACTAACCAACATCAGACTCTCACAGCAATGGCGCTCCAGGCTTCATTCAGCGAGATCACTGCTGCTTTCTTTGGGCTATTTGTTTGCTTCCCTTAAACCAAGACAATTCTCAAAGAGGTCTTACTCCACTTTACAGAGATTGCTCTGGACCGTGCTCTTACCTACAAGAAGCACTGCCTAAATATCAAGCAAAAAGTGGGTGCCAGAAACAATATCATACGAAAGCTGACTGGCACAACCTGGGGATCACAACCAGATACAGTGAAGACATCTGCCCTTGCGCTGTGCTACTCTGCTGCTGAGTATGCATGCCCAGTGTGGAACACATCTCACCACGCTAAAACAGTGGATGTGGCTCTTAATGAGACATGCCACATTATCACGGGGTGTCTGCGCCCTACACCACTGGAGAAATTACACTGCTTAGCCGGTATTGCACCACCTGACATCCGCCGGGAAGTAGCAGCCAACAGTGAAAGGACCAAGGCAGAGACATCTCCAGCTCATCCCGTTTGGGTATCAGCCAGCACGTCAACGACTTAAATCAAGAAATAGTTTTCTAAGATCTACAGAGACACTTGCTGGAACACCTCAGCAAGCGAGAGTCCAAAAGTGGCAGGCTCAAATCCAGAGCCTCAAATGAGAGACTCCTCCCTGGGCACACAGAACCTCAACCAATGGCTGATACCAAATGAGAGACTCCCCCCTGGGCACACAGAAGACTGGGCGACTTGGAAGGCGCTGAACAGACTGCTCTGGCACCACGAGATGCAGAGCCAACCTCAGAAATGGGGCCACGAAGTGGAGTCCACGACATGCGAGTGTGGAGAAGAGCAAACCACTGACCACCTGCTGCAATGCAACCTGAGCCCTGCCACATGCACAAGGGAGGACCTTCTTGCGGCAACACCAGAGGCACTCCAAGTGGCCAGATACTGGTCAAAGGACATTTAATCAACTACCAAGATTGCAAATTCTGTGTTTTGTCTGTTTGTTTGCTTGTTTTTGTTAAAAATGTAATACAAATGTCTGGTGTAGCAACACCAACACTTCCTCAAGTGTGCCTGAAATTATCCAACCTATTCCATGAGAAAATTTTCGTGTTATGATTATCCAACATGCATGGGCAGTTCGGAGAGAATCAGAGGAAGGTCTGAAATGCGAGTGTGGTAAGTCCCTCTTCCCTTCCTTCCTTCCTTCCTTCCTTCCTTCCTTCCTTCCTTCCTTCCTTCCTTCCTTCCTTCCTTCCTTCCTTCCTTCCTTCCTTCCTATGGCTCTCAGGTGCTGGCACTGCCAGGGGAAAAAGAGAGCAGCTGCAGGGCAGCCACCAAGGGAAGGAAGGCATGCATTCCCAGTTTGGAGCGTGATGAAGTCAGGTTACCATGTCCTGCATGTCTAAAGGGTGACAGGGAGAACAGGTGCTGCGGGGGGAACAGGGAGGCCTTCTCTGCCAGCTGCAAGAACAAGCAACAAGGCGGAGGCATGTGCTGCGCCATTTCCAAACCATCCCGCATTTCCAATCCATCCAGGCACCGGCACAAGACCCACCACCATCCTGGGCCCAGCTGCTGCGTGAGTCAAAGACCTGGTTCAAGGTGGTGGCAAGGTGCCACCTCCCAGGCTTGGCACCTTGAATCCAGAGAGGTTGGGACTCTGCAAAGACCCACGAGAGAGGCTTCCTGTCAAGAACCTGCCTGATGTATCTCACACTGTTCTGGGCTGGGCACTCTATTTTGCAAAACCCTTGCTCTTTCATAGGACCTGGCCCTCTCTTTAGAAACAGTTAAGAAATGTGGAAGTTGAAGTCCAAAACACCCGAAGGGAGGGCCAAAGTTTGCCCATGCCTGCTTCATCTCACTACCTTCCAGGCCTCCTGAGTCTTCCAGCCTCCCTGTCACATCCTACTGGCTGAGACATAAAAGACGTCTGCCTTGCATTCCAAACCTGGAATGGATCAGACACACAGATCTTGGAAGCAAATGGGGGAAACCATCCAAACCCTGCTCTGCACCGTAGAATTGAAAAGGGCCCCAATCCTCGCCTGGCTGCTCCACCACTTCCCGCTCAGCTCCAAGATTCCCCTTTCGGCCTCTGCTCCGCCTGCGGCTATATCCGTCCCCAGGCCAGGAAGAGCCTCTCATTTTTCATTCCTCTATCCAGACCATGCCATGAGGAAAGCACACAAGAACATCTCCATTCCCCACGTCCCCCAACTGCAGGCAGGGCCCCACCTTCCCCTCTGGTCACACTGTCAGGGCTAAAAATCAAAAGGGCTGCTGCATAAGAGATTGGCCCTGCTTCCTGGCACCACGTGGGTGCATCTCAGGGTGCCTTATTCAGCTGCACCTGGCTCCCTGTATCCGAGAGAGGCAGGGTGCAAAAGGAGGCAAGGAAGAGCCCCAAGGCTGCTCTGCTGCTCCCATTCACTTGCACATCCCCTGGGGCTCAGGAATTCACAGATAACCGCTGGGCCTGTGGCGCACCTCTGCATAAAAGAGCTTCTCAGCACAGCGTGCTTCTTCCTGGGGTTCAGCAGGCCTTCCTTCTATTATCCACTCAAT